GTATGTATTATGTATGTGTAACCACTGGCTACCTCGAGAGCGATGTTGTCTGATGCATGAGTAGACTGGAAGAAAGCTAGGGGCGGCTAAACCAAAACATGGCAGAAATCCATAAAGTCACTGACAAGTAGACTAAGTCATGTTGATAGATGTAGGCTACCTGGTTGGGGTCCGCGAGACGAAATTCACTGATGGTTAGAGACCTTGATTGACATGGCTCAAAATCGTTTGCGATGGCGCAGGTGCATCCATTCTTTGTGTTCTCTCTAATTCTAACCTTCTGAATTCCTCATCATCTCTATCTTTATCTCTATTAAGTTATGTCACTGAATTATACTTCTTCAATAATATCTTCGAACCCTAATCTTCTCCATTACTGCGCATACTTCTACTATGGGATTCGAACTGACAATTGCGTCTCTGTGCTAATGTGGTATTGCAACCTGAACTTATCTACTTACGTACGAAGTTCTACGTTGTAACTGACTGACTGACTCATCAAAGAACAAATTTTGTCTACTCAACTGGTTTCATTTTGTTGAAATCGTTTTAATTTTGTCCACCTACCTTAGGTTGGTAACATAACTACCTTAACTAAAATTAAAAGCTATCTAATTTTCATCACTGAGGGTTTTATTTGTTACCATCGAATGTCCATTACCAAAAACACTTCACACTTTGAGACAAATTGTTATTGGGTGTTAAAACTACATATTATCGTAAATTATTTTTCGTGATTCAAAAACATTTCAAGAGTTCAATGTGAACTAGAACTCCCCTCTAGTTATCATCAATTTCATGTACATATTTACCCGTTTCTTCGGCTGTACATACACTAAGAGGATAAAAACGATCCTGTTAACAGACGTAAACATCTTAGTTTGGGTCCTCATGCTAGTCATAATCTACATTTAAGGACATTGGGTTATGTGACTTGAAAGTGGTTAAAATCACGGGATTCATTCATCCTTTACCGTCTGATGGATCATATAACAATGTTCTGTGACTCTGTTATCTAAACTACATATTTCAAACTCTGTTTCTCATATTTATCTATCCACAGCAGTTGGTAATTTTTTTCTTCTCTGTTTCCCATCCTATTTCTTTTCTCTATCGGTGTGTTTAAAAAAAATAGGGCAAATGTATATTTGTGATAGGTTATGTGTTGAGTTTTACTGGTTAAATGTTCGGATGTTGCATTTTGCAGACTCACTACTAAAAATACCGTGTCTCAATTCTCAATTTCCTTATACAAAGAGCCTCAATTATTACTGTCCAGAGAGGCCAATATTAACATTGTCTTTTTTTTACCTTTTCATGTAGTTCTCTTCAATTGTTCTCCATTGTTTTTATTTAAATACAATTAACGGTACAAAGGGGCGCCTAAATATGTATGCACCGCACAAATCAGTTAGTTTGTATTTGGGCTAGGATAATACCCACACACTCAAACCGAAGCAGGATTTTTAATTAGGCAGCCACTTCCTGAGCCTTTTATTCCAAGGTCTAGTTCATTAGACAGCGGAACAGCGTTTCATGCGATCCCACAACTGATGGTGACTAACAGTGATCCCATCTACCATTTGTCCTCTATACTTGCTTTATACGCTTTGCCATATGAGAGGATTTCGATAGAGAGGGAGAGCAAATTCTCCCCACTATCAGCCGTACCAGGCCATTTGGAGGCTTTTAAGTAATTTTATTATATGTTTTTAAATTTAGTTCCAATCTCAAATCAATCTCAATAACTTTAATGTCACAGTTTTATACGAAAGTGATTTCGTTATCGTGGATCATTCACTATCGTCTGTGTTTGTAAACATTGTCGTTATTACTTTTTGTAAGTTTTTAAGACTGGAGACCATCTTTCTCATGATATGTTTTGATTATTGTGTTTTTGAAATATTTGTTACACTGCTTATTCATAACTCATTCTTTGTCTTGCAGTGTGTTGTTTAGTATTTGTGGACCCTTATTTTTGTAATTGGGACGATGTACGTAATTTTAAGGTGGGCTACTTAAATCCACACGTTTTTGTAGTACCTAAACTAACCTTCAGACCGTATAGGGACAGTCCCGAGCCTGAGTTAAGAGGAAGAGTTGCGGTGTTAGGGCTTACAAGCCTACCTCATAACTCCGCCTTTAGACCCTCCGGGGCTACTGCCGGTCCCAAGCCCGGGTAAAGGAGAAGGTTTGAGATGTGGCTTGGCGACCCCATCCCGGAAAAAAACTTGTCAAAGAAACGCTAACAAGAAAAACTAATTCAAACCACATAAACTCTACTCTGGGAGTTAAAAAGTCTTCATTCAGAAGAATTATGACGTTTCATGATGAAAGTCAAGTTCCTTCGGAATTCATGAGGCCGATGCGCCTTCTGACAACCCGAACCCTACCACGGGCAGCTGGAAAGTTACAACCGCCCTCATTCCCGTAACAGCACACGAGATCAAATTGGTCACAATCAAATCCTTTCTACACCTCTTAATAACTCTCTTATCTCCTCAACCAACTCTTCCTTCGATCGTTTATCACCTCGCGCCACTGAAGCAAACCGTTTAAGCTCACGAAACGTTATTCCTGGTCTCTTGAAACCCCTTACTAAATTACATATTGGAGCTTTTAATGTTCGGACCCTATGCCAAATAGGGCAACAGGCTTCAGTAACTAAAACTCTGGAATCCCGAGCAATCGATGTACGGTGCGTCTTCGAAACGCACAAACAAGATCCGAGTAAAATGATCGATTTGACTGTACCTAGTGCAGATAGAGACATAACACGGTTTACACCTGTGTTTCAAGTAGCCCCTGATGCTTCTGCCTTCCATGGCCTCGCCGGCGTAGTCATTGTATTAAGTCCTAGGGCAGAATTAGCTCTCTTAGACTGGATCCTGGTAGACAGTCTCAGGCTGATAAAACGCCTCCGCAATGATCGTGAACAGTGGCGGGTAGCGAAGGCGAGAGAGATGGATGAGGCAGCGGCGATAGGCAACTATTTAAACCCATCAAGTAAACCGGTATTAGGAACCCGAATGTGAGTGAGACTATCTCAGAAAAGGGTGGTCTTATTATTCACTCTCAACCCAGACGATTGAATCGATGGGCAGAACACTTTAGGGATCAGTTCAACTGGCCTTCAGCCACACTTCGGTTGACCACGATCCCCAGTCATCCTGAATGGCAAATCGACATAAGTCCCACGAATCTTTATGAAGTCGAGAACTTACTTACCTACTCTTACTTACGCCTGTTACCCCCAATGGAGTATAGGCCGCCCACCAGTTTTCTCCAACCAACTCTGTCCTGGGCTTCCATCTTTCTGATTTCTGTCTCTATTTCTTGGCGTAATGCGTTCCTTGGCCTTACTCTTTTCCTTTTGCCTTGAGAGTTCCAAGTGAGGGCTTGTCTTGTGACGTAGTTAGATGCTTTTCGTAGTGTGTCCTATCCACTTCCACCGCCTTTTCCTGATTTCCTCCTCCACTAGAATCTGGTTTGTTCTCTCCCACAGTACGTTGTTGCTGATCGTGTCTGGCCAACGAATCCGAAGTATTTTGCTTAGAAAACTGTTAATAAACACTTGTATCTTCTGGATGATGGCTTTCATAGTTCTCCAAGTTTCCGCTCCATACAGTACAACTGTCTTGACATTTGTATTGAAAATCCTGATTTTGGTTTTGGAAATCTGAAGCGAGACAGTGCACCGGGTCCTGATAGATTGATCCCTGAGATTTTTAAAGATGGTGGTCCAGTTTTAGCAGCATAATCCCATCCAACTGGTCTCAATCCATGATTGTCGCTATTTATAAGAAAGGACAAAAGTCTTCTTGTGACAATCACAGGTGAATCAGTCTAACTAATATAGTGTCTACATTTTTAGCCTCGATTGATCGATTCTGCGGATCGTGAGGTTCTGTGGCAGTTTCTGTCATTGAAAGGTGTACCAAAGAAGTACATTAACCTTATACAAGCTCTCTTCTCGTACACTACAGGTCGAGTGAGAGCTTATGGCGAACTGTCACCGGAATTCTTTACTTCAAGTGGTGTTTATCGGAGATGTCCACTCTCTCCATTCTTGAATAATCTTGTCATAAACATGCTCCTAGATATAACCTTATCCTCGTCTGAATTTTCAGGAGTGGACCTTCTACCAGGAGACTCGCTCGTTCACTCAGAATATGCCGATGATATAGTTAAATTTGGTGAAGACGCCGACAAAATGCAGAGTCTTCTGACTGCCTTAAGCAACAATGCAAGCATGTTCGGGATGCGGTTTTCCCCATCGAAATGCAAAATGTTACTTCAAGATTGGCCAGCATCGGCACTTGAACTAGTGACAGGGAGTGAAGTAGTCATGTGTGCTGACCACTTCACTTACCTTTGGAGTCTCATCAGTGCCGATGGCCTGGTGACTGACGAAATCTCTACATGGATACAGAAAGCTCGATTGGCCTTTGCCAACCTTCGTCAATTATGGCGCAGGCGAGATATCCGTTTGTTGAATAAAGAACGAAATTTGAATGCCTTTAAACTAGAATCGGGACTCTCAACTTAATACAGCTGTTATGGAGAAGAGGTTTACCGATTTGACTGACGATTTTTCCATGATCAAAGGTACTGATTAGAATGCCGATCAGTAGGATGGCATGTAATATTTCAAAGCCTAGCGGGTTGGTGGCTAATCACTAGACCGTATTATTGTCCTGAGCTTCTGAGCGATTTTAAACAAAAGCGAGACTACTGGTTGGAAGAATAGTTTTCTTATACAATAAAATGGTATGCTTATACACGAAGTATTCACAAAAATGTGCTGGTGATTGGAGGAAATCAGTTTGTAAATCACTAATTCAATAATCAATGAAAACCTAATTTTGGTAGGCCTAATTATTTTCCATCGTCACATCAACAGTCGAATAGCCTAACTAATATAGTATATCATCATTTAATGCTTTCCATTTTAAATGTTGCTATAATTTTTGTTATGCTGATTTGTTTCTGACTTTTAGAATGAAAATCTACTTGATTTTTTCGTTCATTGGATTTGGGTTGTTGTTTTCTCACAGTGAAACAATAATTAAACAACATGTACCAGCTGAACTGTTATGTTTAGATACAAAGTGTTTGAAAACTATAACAATGGGAAAGCTTATTAAAGATGTTAATATAGCGAATCAGGAAATATTAAAGAAAAATACCTTAGTGGATATAATAGCATTAAGTGCTGATACAGCTAATTCTTTGATGAAAATAAAATTTGGCACAAATAATCCATATATCGATTCAAGTCTTGTACAAATGCACGATTCTCCAAGTTCATTCAGATTTTTAAGAGTGAAAAACACTGATACAATCTTGAACCCTTCAACTTCATTAGATGAAGATTCAAGTTATAAATCAACAGCGAAAGATCATCAAGACAACGGGCAAACATTTTCTGACAGTCAAAGGCAGAGTAATGCTATTGACATTGACTTGGTTGATCCCAGAAGCCATGATCAAGTGATCAGACAAGAAACTGCAGACGAAAAAGATTCTGATGAAGTGGAAGACGACACGCTTGAAGTAGATAACGATGAAGATGAATCAAACGATAACAATTCAACTCTTGACACAGAAGTTCGTGATACAGCTTCTTCGAATTATGGAGAGACAAACACCACTGACTTTTCATTTGAATCAACCAGTGAAAATGTTAGCCAGGAGAAAGTTCGTAAATCTATGTTATCCAATGAAAATGAACCAGTAAATACTATCGCACATACTAAAGAAAGTAAAGATTCGATTGATACAAAGTCATTTATCAAAAAAAGTGCTAGCAAACAATCAGATGAGGTTACGAGTGATTCTGAGCAAAGTGAATCTGATTTGGCAAGGCGACAGTCTCCATCTGATCAATCGCATCATGTAGAGGGGATGTCAGGAACTGAGGATGTGAAAACTGGAGCTCCACCATCACCGCCACCTCCTACCGTACCTTCCAAACCAGACAAGATGTCGGAGAAGGTTTCGAGTGATTCTGAGCAAAGTGAATCTGATTTGGCAAGGCGACAGTCTCCATCTGATCAATCGCATCATGTAGAGGGGATGTCTAAAACTGAGGATGTGAAAGCTCGAGCTCCACCGCCACCTCCTACCGTACCTCCCAGCCCAGATAAGATGTTGGAGAAGGTTTCGAGCGATTCTGAGCATAGAGAATCTGATTTGGCAAGGCGACAGTCTCCATCTGATCAATCGCATCATGTAGAGGGGATGTCAGGAACTGAGGATGTGAAAACTGGAGCTCCACCATCACCGCTACCACCTACCGTACCTTCCAAACCAGATAAGATGTCGGAGAAGGTTTTGAGTGATTCTGAGCAAAGTGAATCTGATTTGGCAGGGCGACAGTCTCCATCTGATCAATCGCATCATGTAGAGGGGATGTCTAAAACTGAGGATGTGAAAACTGGAGCTCCACCAGCACCGCCACCACCTACCGTACCTTCCAAACCAGATAAGATGTTGGAGAAGGTTTCGAGCGATTCTGAGCAAAGTGAATCTGATTTGGCAAGGCGACAGTCTCCATCTGATCAATCGCATCATGTAGAGGGGATGTCAGGAACTGAGGATGTGAAAACTGGAGCTCCACCATCACCGCTACCACCTACCGTACCTTCCAAACCAGATAAGATGTCGGAGAAGGTTTTGAGTGATTCTGAGCAAAGTGAATCTGATTTGGCAAGGCGACAGTCTCCATCTGATCAATCGCATCATGTAGAGGGGATGTCTAAAACTGAGGATGTGAAAGCTCGAGCTCCACCGCCACCTCCTACCGTACCTCCCAGCCCAGATAAGATGTTGGAGAAGGTTTCGAGCGATTCTGAGCATAGAGAATCTGATTTGGCAAGGCGACAGTCTCCATCTGATCAATCGCATCATGTAGAGGGGATGTCAGGAACTGAGGATGTGAAAACTGGAGCTCCACCATCACCGCCACCACCTACCGTACCTTCCAAACCAGATAAGATGTTGGAGAAGGTTTCGAGCGATTCTGAGCAAAGTGAATCTGATTTGGCAAGGCGACAGTCTCCATCTGATCAATCGCATCATGTAGAGGGGATGTCTAAAACTGAGGATGTGAAAGCTCGAGCTCCACCGCCACCTCCTACCGTACCTCCCAGCCCAGATAAGATGTTGGAGAAGGTTTCGAGCGATTCTGAGCATAGAGAATCTGATTTGGCAAGGCGACAGTCTCCATCTGATCAATCGCATCATGTAGAGGGGATGTCAGGAACTGAGGATGTGAAAACTGGAGCTCCACCATCACCGCCACCACCTACCGTACCTTCCAAACCAGATAAGATGTCGGAGAAGGTTTTGAGTGATTCTGAGCAAAGTGAATCTGATTTGGCAAGGCGACAGTCTCCATCTGATCAATCGCATCATGTAGAGGGGATGTCAGGAACTGAGGATGTGAAAGCTCGAGCTCCACCGCCACCTCCTACCGTACCTCCCAGCCCAGATAAGATGTTGGAGAAGGTTTCGAGTGATTCTGAGCAAAGTGGATCTGATTTTGTTAAACCACAACGTTCATTCTTATCTCCGTCAAGCAAAGGTTTAGATAATGATAGTCAACTAGAAACTACTAAGTCAGTGTATAATGATAGACAAGGCGGAATCAGTAGTGATTTCATTAATGTTGAAAATATTGGCAAATTTCATTCTTTAGATGTGAATAACTCTATTTCTTCAACTATTTCACAACAAATATCTAAGAATCAACTTTTTGATCCGCACATTTTTCCCGTTCACATTGGTTTGATACAGTGTATATACTGGGCAGCAAATGTTAGTTTTGATCAAACTTATTTGGAAACTGTTCGATCACCTTTCTCACGTTTGTTTGTCAATGGATTAATGTACTTCTTTTCAATTGCTAACTTTTCTCTACAATATTTTCCAGAGAATTCTATTTCTAGTCTAGATAATATTTTACTTGAAACATTTTCTTTACCATTAAATTTCATTATTGCTTGGATGATTTTTATAGTTCACTTATTGTTTGTATGGAATTTAAGTAAAGTTATACATTCTATTCTATCAAAATACATTTTTCCTGAAAAATACACATCTCCATCACTTGCAGAATATATAAAACTTGAAGAGTATAGTATACAACTAGCTAGTCAACTTTCAGATATGGAAGAGTCTAATTCTCATTTATCTAAATGGGCTAATTCACTTTCATGTAACTTTCAAAATTTACAAGAAGAATATACTACTAAAATATCTGAAATGACATTGTCTGTAGATGATTCACATGAATCTTGCATGCATGTTCAATCTGAATTAAATCATTTAAAAAATGCTTACAATTTATTAGAACAAAGTTTACGTTTAAAATTAACTGATAAAGAAGAAATTATTCATGAATTAAACACAGAAATTAATCATTTAAAACAATTAAACTCTGATAATGATAATAAATGGCAAAAAAATCTTTTAGACTTGGAAGAAACTAATCGTCAATCAATAGAGAAATTAAAAGAAGAGTTAGAACAATTATATTCACAAGCTAATTCATATTATAATCGTATGAAAACAATGCAATCAGATATGGAAATGATTAAAGAATCTAGAAAAGCATCTGAAGAGAAATTACTTACTAAAGAAGCAGAATTTCAAAGTTTACTCGCAACATTTAATACACTTAAAGGACTTGAATTGATCTTGGAACAAGAATCTTTTTCACAACAATCAAAAATAAATAGTATTGAAGAACGTGAAGTAGATACCATTGAAAATATGTCTAATGTGATTTGTTGTACCTTAGAAGATGATTTAGATGTTAGTGATAAGTCAAGTGTTTTTTCTGAAAGTATTTTATCTGATTCAAATGAAAAAGTTCATGAAAAAACTACAGAAAAATCTAAATTACGAGAGAAATTATCATTACTTTTGGATGTTGGTCGTTTGCATGCTCAAATTAGACTTAAAGATGAACAAATTAAAACTGAAGAATCTAAAACAAAAAGTGAACATGATCTTCGAGTTCAAGTTGAATCTAAATTGGAAGAGATAGAAAAAGAAAATTCAACTCTTAAGTCTAATTTAATTCAAACAGAACAAGAAAAAAATGCTTTTCAAACAAAGCTTGATATTTTATCAGATTATTTTAAAGAACGTGAACTTGAACTACAAAGAGATTTAGGAAAGCATGTTGTAGTTGGTTCTGAATCTTCAGAAGCTCTTATGCACAGTCGAAAACGTAATCAAGAGCTTGAAGGAGAAGTGAAAATATTACGAGATCAAATGACAGCTTTACGCCGAGAACTAGCAGAAACTGAACGAACTAGTAGGCGTCAAATATCGGAGTTAGATAAGCGTTCTCATGAAAATTGGTTAGCAGCTCGTGCATCGGAACATCAAATTCAAGATCTACGTGAAGAGAACTCTAGTCTACGACAAAAGCTTATTGAATCGGAGAACAATGCATTACGATCGTCATTGCACAATTTCCCAGGAAAAATAGATAGTTCATCTCGTGAAAAACTTATGAATATTTTACCAAGACCTTTTTTACCACCGGGTTTTTTGAAAAATACAAGTTTAAGAGGAGATGTGCACTCTCAATCGAGAAATTCTATGACAAATTTATCATCACAACAACCAATAACAGAAGCTAACCCATTTCCATTTATTCCACCACCTCCACTTCCACCTCCAGGAATGATGCCTTTTCCAGGTGGACTTCAAAATGATACTTTATCACCGCCCCCGCCACCTCTTTTGCCTGGATTTCCTCCTGTACAAATGAATTTCCCGCCTGGATTTTTACCTCCTCCTCCTATTCCTCCATTCGCACCTGTTATGAAAACATTAATCGACCAGAATAAACAAACTAGTTCTCGCTCTTCTATAAGTGGTTCATTAAAATGATTTTTAGATCTGTCGATGTTGGTTTATTTTGCATTTTCATTCTTTCGTTTGTTATATATATATATATATATATATATATATATATATATATATCATTTATTATTTCATTGAGGTTATTGTTTATTATTATTATTATTATTTAGGAGGGTACTTTTTTAAGATAATGTGATAGATACCTATTTATTACATTTGTTCTTTCAGATAATCTCTATTACAAGTGACATTTTATTGAATGTAAAATATTTGTAAACTTTCACCGGTTCCCTACTACTACTACACTAAGAAGGATTATATCATGTTTTCTATATATTTTGATTACTGAATAAAATGTTTTTCTGTCTGTTTATTTATTGTATACGTTGATGGTAAATGTGTGTGTGTGTGTACTGTTTTGTTTTTTGTATTTTGATCATTGAATAATGGTGTTTGAAGTCTTTCTGTTTGTTATTGTTATAAATTAGTGGAAAGTGTGTGTGTGTGTGTGTGTATGTGTGTGCGTGTTTTCTTCAGAAATCATTTCATTATCTGTTATGTATAAACAATATAACTTGAAATAGCTTTATTGATTTAATTGAGAATTGAATTGTGTTGTTTATGTTTCAACTGTAAATAATAACTGGATATTTTCAAAGATCACAGATCACTCATTCGAACGTTTTAGTATATATAATATGAGTTGAAATTTGGTATAAAAAAAAAAGATTATTCCAAATACTGTCGACAATTTTATCTTTTCTACTTTCATCTAATACACTCATTTTTAATCATTAATCTTGATAGCATAAACATGATAATGATTTTTTCTGTAATGTAAGGAGAATTATAAACAAGTTAGTTTTCAAACCTTTTTTTTTGTCTTACAGCTGTCTTTATTTTTATTATCCAAGTTTTGAACATGGATCTGTTATCGACATGTCAGTCATTTAGTAGTGCATTGCAATTGTATTTTGACAATTAAACTACTTTGACTACTTACTGGTCATTAAAAAAAAATAAGCTCATGCTGAATTGGTTTGTTTTCCTATCTCTTTTCAGCTGATATACGACTGAACGCCTAAATAATACTTGATTGTTAAACCCAGACTGAAGTGTACTGATTTCTTGAATCACTTCATATTTTCATGTGATTTTATCTCTTGTACAACATGTGGACAATGGTGTTTTTCGTTTGTTTGTTTGTTTTGTTTTTTCTGCCAAAACTCTGTAATTTGAGGTTTATGAAAAAAAAAAGTAAAGCCTCATCTTTGATTTCATGTGTTTTTACCGCCAAAAAAAATGTGATTGTGTTGAAATCTAATGAAAAAGATATCTTTATGTGTATGGTAGTTTTCAAATATACAGTTACATGACATCTGATTAGCGCACTTTGCATGAAAACTAACAAATTCAAATTGTCTTATATGATTACATGATATAGAAGCTGTGAATAAGGCATTAATCTGATGAGTTATAGTTTACTCTAGTTATTTCAGTGATAATTTTTGTATAGCCTGAAAAAGAATGGTGACCAATGAAATTTCAGAACAAACCGATCAATCTGTTTTTATGTACAACAATATTATTTCTTGATAGAACAGGGATATATTTTAAAAATTTTATGTTAACTAATAGCTGCTGTATATGAATGACCTTATTGATTGTTCTAAACTATCTTTTCATCTGTATCTATTGCGTGTGTACTTTATAAAATAAAATTAGATATTAGAAATCTTTAAGTGAACTGAAACTGGATAATAATTTGTAGTTGCTTGTAATGTTCAATATAGTGTCTATGTTTATTGACTTTTGGGACATGTACTGCGTATGCCTAACCACTGACTGCCTCGACGAGCTATGTTTTGTGGTGTAGGAGTAGGTTGAAAGAAAGTTAGGCGCGGCCAGACCAAAACATGGCAATAATCCATAAAGTCACTGACAAATGGACTGAGTCATGTTGGTAGATGTAGACTACCTGGTTGGTGTCCGCGAGACGAAAGTCACCAATGTTTAGAGACCTTGAATGATATGGCTCAAAATCGTTCGCAATGGTGCCGGTGCATTTATTCTTTGTGTTCTCTCAAACCCTAATCTTCTGGATTCTTCAACACCTCTAGTTTCGACTCTCTAAACTTTTCTCACTGAATTATACTTCTTGAATAATATCTTCGAACCCTAGTCTTCTTCATTACCATTAATACCTTTACTATCTTTATCACTATGGGATTTGATTTGACATTTGCGTCTCTGTGCTATTGTGGTATGGCAACATGAACTTATGTACATACGTACGAAGTTCTACGTTGCAACTGACTTATGTTTATTGACTAGGACTCCTGTTTGTCTTCAGTAGATCATTAATACTCAGTGGGTTACTAGAGGTCGTTCAATTGTATATAATAGTTATGCCTAATATTAAGGCTTCGTTAATTGCTTGAATACTTAACAGTTCCTCATTTAGTTGATGAATGCTTGGAAGTTCATCACAACCAACTTTAATCTTAAATTGAAATCAGTAGAAAATAAGTACCAGTCGAAACTGATGAAATAAATGGAAATAAAGTTGCGTTCCTACTAAACAAATAAATTAGCGTCAATGCATAGTAGAGAGTTCTGTGTTATTGAGGTTTGATATTATTAGGTGGTGCAGTTGTCTAGAAATTCAATGTTTTTTAATGGTTGATCAACTGTTGGTTTGCGATGTAAACTGCGTAGTGGGCAAGCCATCCTCACAACAGACTAACATTAGTCAATGCGATTAAGATGTCTACATTCAGATTAACCAGTTTGTTTACCTATACGCAGAAAGTTTGTAATAACATGAAGTAACTGATAAGTAGTGTTGTTTTCACTGGTAAGATTTGATTCAGTTGGTATAAATCCATTCGTTTGGTCTGTGAAGGCATGGTTGCCCTCTGAATTAACTGGAGAAGAACTTCTTAACTAAACGGAAGATAAATTACCTAACATTCGTGCCTGTCACACAGCTTTTGTAGGTCAATTAAGTACAAGTAACTTGATGTGAATCAATTAATCGCCGTGTTTTGTTCACTTTAGTCCGATATACGAACTCTGATTTGATTAGCAAACATAAAATGACTATCCGAAAGCTTAATTTGCTAATTAACTGTCTGGTACAACATTCTATGGCTGAAACCTTTTCAAACTGTATCTGATGTCCGAATAGAAATACCATTTGCCTACTCAGTATAGTTTTAACAAAGAAAAACTTAGTAATGTGATATTTACCGAGGAATGTCTCACCTAATAGATTTGAAGAATGACTGCGGAATAATCATTATGAAAATTAAATTCATTAACGTCTTTTCATGCCAGATCGACTTTCACCTCACAGCAATTCTATGTTCCCGCCTTTTAATAGTACTATTTACAAAAGACACAAAAATTACTACAATCTCTTTAGTTGCGATCATTAACGTCTTTTTATGCTAAATCAAATTTTACTTCTCAGAACTGTTATGAGTTGGTCGTTCGTATACCTTTTTCTACAGTCAGCATATTCCATTCAATACGAGATCTGTTAAAACATCAATCGAGAAAAGCATAGAATATCAAACATCTGGTTGGCTGCTTACTAAGTAGTAGTCTCTAAGATGATAGGCTTCTGTGAACCATTGTTCGTGTCTTTTTGGAAGCGCCAAATGAGCGATGCTGACTTTAGACATGGCAAATAATTTTTTAAGGTAGTGGGTATTTAATCAACTGGGTTGGTTGGGACATGCGTTATATATGCCCAAACAGCACATACGCAGATGGACAGTGTTGTAAGAGTAAGCTGGAGGTGAGCCAGGAGCAGCCAAAACACGACGTGACACCGATTTATGAATTTAATGTGATTATTGGACTGTACCGATATGGTGTTTAATGCGAGCAGGTTAAAACCACGTAACTAGAAACGTATTATGGAATACAGGATCTGACAGTACATGGCTTATTCGATCAATTCGAATACCTTACATTCGTTCGCAGTAATGTAATATCCTACCACCCTGCAGCATCTTTCCAATCAATAGTTATGGTTGTTTTGCTCGAATAAAAATACTTGAAATATGTTCTTTCTAAATATATTCGTAATGGATTTATTTTTATTTTGAACGATAACGAGATTTAATCCAGTTATATAACAGAATTTCATCATCGTTATGTACTTACTATATGATGAGTTCAATCAACTCTAGTCTAAAAAATTCATTGTACTAATCATCAACATGTAACTGAGCACGTTAGCACAGGGACGCAACTGTCAGTTCGAATCCAATAGGAGTAGAGGTAGTAGAAGTATTAGCAGTAATGGAGAAGATTGGGGTATAATTCAGTGAGAAAGTTAGAAAGAGATGATGAAGAGTTCAGAAGGTTAGAATTTAATAGAACACAAAAAGTGGATGCACCTGCGCCATTGCAAAAGATTTTGAATCATGTCTTTCAAGGTCTCTAACCATTGGTGAATTTCGTCTCGCGAATCCCAACCAGGTAGCCTAAATCATCTACCAAAATGACTCAGTCCACTTGTCAGTGACTTTATGGACTTGTGCCATGTTTTGCGTTGGCCACCACTAGTTTTCTTCCAGCCTACTACTACACCATAAAATATGGCTCGTCAAGGCAGTTGGCGGTTGGGCATACATACCACATGTCCCAACCACCTCAACTGATGAAGTTCCTGTACTTCATCTATTGATTTACCATCCCTACCTAGTACTCGTTTCTTAACGACAGCATTGCTTAATCGGCTGTCCCAGGATACACGAGCAATGCTTCGGAGACACCTATGATCGAAGACAAGCAATCTACGAATGTCCTACACTCTCACCGGCCATGTTTCGTATCCGTATAGTAGGACAGAACGAACTGCTGCGCAGTACACTCGACCTTTGGTTAGCAAACGGATATCTCTCTAAGTGTATGGTGCTTCATTTATTGATTTATTTGAAGTCGTTTTTGTTTGTCTGCTTATTCGTTTTAAGTAGGCTCTAAATAATCCTTCGATAATTATGTTCCATAAA